ACAGTGTATATTGATGCAAACATTCATCCAGTCAATCAATAAAGTAAAACTAGTCCCATTCAGTCTCAGTCACCACATCCAAACACTATTTACATATGTACACTTCATATTGGTGCAGATTCATGTGGACAGGCTTGTTTGGATAAAAACCGTCGTTTGTTCAGGCGTGCAAACATTTCATAATTAATACATAATATAAAGTCACGTGGGAGGATGTCCCAGAGGCTTATGTTCTATAGGAGAATGATGACTGACTAAATGAGGTTCTGCATGTTGGAACACGACGCTCTGACTGTGGACCGTGTGGCTCTGCAGGTTTTCTCTGAAGCACCACAAACTTTCTCAGTGGGGGAACAGCTGAATTAAGAATGATTTTAAATAAGGTTAACATCTGATTAAATTTAAGCAAGTTATCAAAATTTAACTATTTATATAAGTATAAGTCCTGAGCAGTGGTGGTGCAGGTGAGAGTTTTTATCATGGATTTTTAGTGCTTGTTTATCCAATGTTTCTATCGGCTTTAGAGAAGTTTTCCACACCTCAGAGCAGCGTGTAATGCAATATCAAAAGTGCCACACAATCATGGCATTAAAATATGTATATGAGACCTCAGTTGTTAAAGAATTTCTAATATCTTTAAAATTCATCAAGTTGAACTTCAGTGTGTTTCCAAGTTTTTTAAAATGACTTTTAAATTAATTATTCACAACGATGAGTTTATAAGCACTTTTAAAAAAAACTTTCAGAGGCCATAAGCAGTTTCATTGTTGCTGTTACACCACGGTGTACCATTGTTACTTCCTGATTCAGTCTTCTTGAAGATTGCAACTTAATATTGAAATTCATGTATGTGACATTTCTGTGAACACGTTTGGTAAATGAGACTGTTAGAAGATCACTACGATTCAGCACTGGACCAGAATCAGGGTTAACATAAATATGACCTGGAGTCCAATTGTGGCCCTCAGACCAGATTCTGTTTATCCTTGAGCCTCTTTGATCAGCTGGCCCAAAATAAAGCCACAGAAAGTTACTTTTTAGCCAAAAAAATAAAGTCTGGAGGCTTCTTTACCATAGAAATGTTCTTCTTTTGGCTACAATATTCCACAATATCAATCTCCTTAGAGAATGTTCTGAAGCTGTTTCCATGGAGTCATGCAGGTGATGTGCAACCTCCACAAAATTACACACTGCAGCTTTAAGAGGTGCAACATCAATAACTAACAAGAAAAAAAAAACAAAAAAAAAACTGTATCATGTAGGTAGAGTGAAAGCTCCCAGACTCTTCTGAATGATTCATGTGTGGATCTCCAGTCTATGGAGCTCTCAGCCCATGTTCAGATGCCCTTACTGAAAATACATTTTGGACAAAATACAAGGACTCAGTCATTTCTATTCCATTTTGCCACCACTCAATATCTTGACTTAAAAGAGCAGGTGGGGTTACCATGGTGATGGCCAAACCTAAATTAGAAGTTCTGACAGGGTCGAGGGTTCACCTTCTCTGCATTAGGTCTCTAGAGGATCAGGACTGAGGTGATCTCCTGTTGTTTTGGAGCTGCTTAGTCCTGGTTCAGACCTGGTTTAGTCTCAGATAGGTCTGGGTCCTGGTTTAGTTCTACACAAGTTCTGTCTGCAGGTGACATCACTGTTTGGTTTTATGAGATGGTAAAGAAAGATAAGAAACCCAAGCACTTTCAACACTTTTATTTTCACTTCAGAAGACAATAAATTATACGAACAGAAATGTACTTAAATTATGTAAACAATAATACAGCACTAACAAAACAATAGATACAAGTGTATAAATATAAGACTTTAAGTTAGTTCACAGTTTCATTCAGTCTGCATAAACATTGATTTGACTTCTCTTTGTAACAAACAAAAGTATAAATGTTAGTTTATAAAAACCTCGACTTCACAAAAGCTCTTTGTAAAAAATACAAAAAAACAAAATAAGGTTAAGATGAAGGTCAAAGTCTAATGTTTGAACACATTACTAGAACCATGAGGCCCCGAGAGGAGCTCACACAGAGGGCCCCGGAGAACCCGTGCGTGTGTATACAACAGTATACAGGGGGTGAGCGGAGCGGCCTACACCAGGCCTACAGCAGGTGTACAGTGTACAGAGGGCCGCTCCATTTCAATGCAATATGCACAACAACAGTTAGTCTGGACATCAGTCCTGGTTTCATCCTGGTTATATCCTGATTCAGTCGCCTTCTAGTCCCAATCTCGTCCTAGTCTAATCCAGATGTATTCTCTCTCTGGTTCTGGTCTTGTTCTGGTCTTGTCCTGGTCTGGGCCTGGTCTAGTCCCAAGTCTAGTCCCAATCTCGTCCTAGTCTAATCCAGATGTATTCTCTCTCTGGTTCTGGTCTTGTTCTGGTCTTGTCCTGGTCTGGGCCTGGTCTAGTCCCAAGTCTAGTCCCAATCTTGTCCTAGTCTAGTCCAAATCTAGGCTCGGTTTGGTCCTGGTCTGGTCCTGGTCTAGTTCTGGTCTAGTCGGAGTCGGTGTTGTGCTCGCTGGTGGACATCTGGCTGAAGATGGGCAGGCGTGGGGGGTCACAGGGGGACTGGGAACGGGAGCCGGAGGACACGTATCCCTCCTCACTCACACACTCACTCACTGAGTCCTGAGAGGAGCAGCGCCACAGGGCCCCGGGCTCCTGCTCTGACACAGCAGAGAAGTGCAGGGCCAGGTCATCCCCTGTGTCCAGCAGGGAGGACAGGGGGTAAGAGAAGTGTTTGAGGGCCCCGGGTTCCGGCAGCAGAGGGGACGTGTATAGAGAGTCCGGAGAGCCCTCGGCCGACAGGGGCGGAGGGGACATGGAGCAGGCTCGGCTGAGCACAGGAGCGGCCCCCGAGGACACTCCGGAGAAGCTGATGCTGTGGCGTAGTGCAGAGGCCCCTGGTCTGCGGGCCCCGGAGCACAGCTCGTCTGCGTTGTGGATGAAGTGGCAGCGGGCCCCGTAGGGACAGAAGCCAATGGTGTGGAAGGTGCGGCAGGGCTCCGTCTTGTACTTGGGGTGTCGGCTGAGGCCTCGCAGCTCCTGGGGGCCGTGGGCAAACTGACACTTGGCCCCGTACTTACAGGCCCCGCTCTCCTGGAAGGTGCGGCACAGCTCGGTCTTGTAGCGAGGGGACAGCAGAGGGGATGAAGGCAGCCTGACCAGCAGCTCAGGGGCCACCAGCTCAGGGGCCAGAAGCTCAGGGGATAAGTCACAGGGGGTCAAGCTGTTTAGGGCCAGGATCCTAGGGGCCAGAGCGCTGGGGGTAAGGCCTGGAGGTGGAGGCAGTGTGGGGCCCTCGATCATACTGACTGAGCGATCCATTCTGAAGGGGATGTGGCTGAGGGCCGAGCAGGCCAGCTCACGACTCCACCTCTGCTCTACCAGTGTGGGCCCCCAGGGGCCTGGGGCTTCGCTGCTGTTCATCCTGGACTTTGGTAAAGTGATGGGACAGTGTGAGTGTCGCCGCTGGAGCCCTGCAGGTTTGAGCTGAGGGGCCTCACGGGAGTCTGGGCCCCAAGTCTGGAACAAACACACAAATATAGTGAGCACATACGGTACACATATAGTACTCATAGTACACACAGTACACACAGTACACAAAGTACACTCATGTCAGCAACATGCTATGAGATGGTCAGGTAACAAATATCTCACCGAGCAGAAGTCCTCCTCCAGCTCCACAAACGGTGTGAGAAAGTCTGAGTCCATGTCTCCTCCTGGTCCTGTTCCTGTCCCCTGCAGCAGAGCCATTAAATACCCCAGAGAGGAGGGGGCGGGGCTTATACACCACACAGAGAGGAGGTGTGACGGGGGTCAGTGACATCATCACTATAAAATCATGTCCAGCCTCTTATTTTATCTCTTTATTTCATCAAAGCTTCATTCTCAGTCCAGTTCTTTAAATAAAATAAAAATAAAATTGACATAACTAAAATGTATAAAACCATGATTCTTCACTTTTGTTTCTCAAATACATGCAAATATTCTCCGTTTCTGCATGGCTCCAGGGAGTTTCTGGTGAGTGAGATTGGGAGAGTACACACTTGTACACACACATTCACACGTTCAGTCTCACAGTCACATGCTAGGTGCTAACAACATGTAACCTAAACATAACCTCACGCTAAGTGCTAACGATGCTAAAGATAGAAGGTAACATGGCACATCCGAGCACCTGTGAGCGTGAGTCAGGTGTGTATGTAGGTCACGGAGTGGAGAACAGGTCATCTGTAGGATTCTGATCAGCTCTCGTCGACTGGTAGTACTCTGTTACTTTTATTGACTGACTTCTTAATGGAATTGTATTTCTCAGAGTAGTTTGCAGACATCATACTTTTACTTTGCTCTGAAAGTACTCTGACATGAGTCAAATATTTGGCTGATCTACCCACCTCTGATCAGTAAAGTGAGTACTTTAATGAGGGGCTATTGTAACCCATCACACATGTGGAACTCCATGTTTCCTTTTACTGTTTATTCACTAATTACAACGTTTTAACATTAAAGGTTCACGCTCTGAGTTCCCCCTCCTTTTGCTCTCAGTGTTAAGTCATTCCCCCTTCAGAGCATTAACACAACACAGTCAGCTGCGTCCCACTAATCAAACTACTGCACATCACCCCAGGTTTGTCAAGTTATTGTGTACAAGTTTGTAGGATGTTTGAGCATGGGAGACGTAGGTTTGTGGGTGGAGCTTTGGACAGAATTTAACATCTAAGCATAAGGAGGGTTCAAATGGGGCCCAGGAGAGATCACAAGATTACTCAAACATGCATGGACATCTAAAACCTACATAATGTGTGTTGGTTAAAGTTCCTATACTGTAGCAGATTCTCGCCATGTGTTTGCCCAAAATGTGTCTTGTACAGATGTATTGTAGAAGCAGCTCCTGAGGTCAAAATAAATCCACTGTGTACTGTTCATCCAATTAAACAGCATTTTGTTGTCCAAGAATCATGAAGTGCATGGTTGGAGGTAAATGTTGTTAGTTTTACCATAACACTTATAAACTCATCTTGGAGAATAATTAAGATGTTCAGAATGCATCAGATAAGTGAGGAAGAACTTTGGACCACTGATGAAGGAGGAATGAAAGAGTTCTTCACATTTTTAAGACTGTAAAAATCTGGTACAGACACTTTCAATTGTGAAATTTGGCAGAAAAGTTTGAAAAGTTCTTTAGCACACAATGCATTCACTCTGGCCCCTCCCCCTCATCCCAGCATCTCTCAATTCCCTGGGCAACCACACAACTTGTGCCCACCTCCCCTGAATGACCCCTGACCCTCACAGCTGCTCAGCCATCACATATCCCACAATGCTTTGCTTCTGGAGCCACAGTCTGACCGTCTCCACAACCAGAGGGACAAAAGACACAGCAGAGATCTGATTCAGTGTTTCATGGGAATCTTGAGAATCGAATTGACATTTCTGACATTCCAGCTGACATAAAATCAAATATGTTTGTAACCACCACATTCAGATACTAATCAATACTAAAACTAGTATTGAAACTAAATACTCATTTGAGCGGGTATCGATACGAAAAAAAAAAAGTCCCATTGACAGGACAGAAATTTACCTTTGCTGAATGTGTTTAGAATGATGTTGATCTGTGTCAGAACAAGTGTCAGAGCACACAGACCAGTACACACACGGACCAACATGAACCCACTGCACCACTGACCATTACACACACAAAGACACATGGGAATAGAAAATAAAGTTCTACCATTTAATGTGGAAAATCACACTCTATTGTCTAAATGTGGCCAAACCTTCTCGTCAAAGCCTGATCTGCTCAGATCTCAACAGGGCTGAGCCTGGTTAGTACTTCAATGGGAGACCAGACCACCGGGAATTCCAATGGCCACAGTGGGGCGCCAGTGACAAAAAAAAAAAAAAAAAAAGCAGTTGTTGTGTCCTTGAGTAAGACACTTTATCCACATTGCCTACTATGAATGTGGTGTGTGTGTGTGTGTGTGTGTGTGTGTGTGTGTGTGTGTGTGTGTGTGTGTGTGTGTGTGTGTGTGTGTGTGTGTGTGTGTGTGTGTGTGTGTGTGTGTGTGTGTGTGTGTGTGTGTGTGTGCGTGATTGGAGGTGGAGGGAGGGGCATGTGGTGCAAACTGTTTTTGAATGTCCAAAAAAGAGTTATATAAAACTGACTGACTTATTATCATCGTGGTATCAGAGTTGGTGTTGAGAATCAAGACTATTTCTTTGTATCGCAATAATGTTTGAAATTTCAGTATTGTGACAACTTCACTATAATCACATCTGAACCTCTGTGTCCCCAGAGTCTTCACCTGCAGATAGAGACACGTCCAAGTGTCTCATTCTCAGTTTATGGACAGAGCAGGTCTCATGTGAAGCTCAGAACCTCCAGAATTCCTTCTCTGAGCTGCAGAGGCTGCACTAGCACTGACTCATGACTGGTGCAGGTGCTGGGGTTTATGGAGAGACCTTTTCAGATCAGAGGGAAACATTTTAGGTTTAACCAGACATAAGAACACTGAGATGCACGTGCACAGTGCAAATGTTCATGTTTACTGCAGCAAAACTTGTATTTCTCTAGGGATCAATAAAGGCTCTCTCTCTCTCTCTCTCTCTCTCTCTGTCTCTCTCTGTCTCTCTCTCTCTCTCTCTCTGTCTCTCTCTGTCTCTCTCTCTCTCTCTCTCTGTCTCTCTCTCTCTCTCTCTCTCTCTCTCTCTCTCTCTGTCTCTCTCTCTCTCTCTCTCTCTCTCTCTCTCTCTCTCTCTCTCTCTCTGTCTCTCTCTCTCTCTCTCTCTCTGTCTCTCTCTCTCTCTCTCTCTCTGTCTCTCTCTCTCTCTCTGTCTCTCTCTCTCTCTCTCTCTCTCTCTCTCTCTCGTCTCTCTCTCTCTCTCTGTCTCTCTCTCTCTCTTTCTCTCTTCTCCTCCCCTCTCTCTCTCTCTGTCTCTCTCTCTCTCTTTCTCTCTTTCTCTCCCTGTCTCTCTCTCTCTCTCTTCTGTCTCTCTCTCTCTCTCTTTCTCTCTATCTCTGTCTCTCTCTCTCTCTCTGTCTTTCTCTCTATCTCTGTCTCTCTGTCTCTGTCTCTCTGTCTCTCTCCCTCTCTCTCTCTCTCTCTCTCTCTCTCTCTGTCTCTCTCTCTCTCTCTCTCTGTCTCTCTCTCTCTCTCTCTCTCTGTCTCTCTCTCTCTCTCTCTCTCTCTCTCTCTCTCTCTGTCTCTCTCTCTCTCTCTCTGTCTCTCTCTCTTCTCTCTCTTTCTCTCTGTCTCTCTCTCTCTCTCTCTCTCTCTCTCTCTCTCTCTCTTCTCTCTATCTCTGTCTCTCTCTCTCTCTCTCTCTCTCTCTCTCTCTATCTCTGTCTCTCTGTCTCTGTCTCTCTGTCTCTCTCCCTCTCTCTCTCTCTCTCTCTCTCTCTGTCTCTGATTTGATGTCCCATCATATCTGTGGTCTGTCATCTAAAATGCAGAGACAGTTTACGCACAAGGAGGGACTTTGTCAGA